AAATCAATTTGCTGATCCGAATTCTCTGGCAAATTTGTGTCTAATTGACCACATGTAATTTTCTCATACTTAGAATTTAGCATTATGAAAATATGTTCCCATTAATCTTTATGCTATTCTAAGAGTGAAAATCTTATCAACAACCTTGCGTTCGCACATTATTTAGCAGTCAGAATTTGCTCCAAATGTTTATCCCACTCTGCTAATGACTGGACAAAAGCTCAAATATAAGAGTTCAAGTAAAGAAAACTTCTGTAGTTACGAGCTGTTCAGTGCATTCTTTTGAATTTCTTTGTGCACTTGGCTTTAGCATCTTTATGGAGGATTCTGCTGTCCGGTCATCTGGCTAAAGTGGTTTTTTCTTTAGTATCTTCAACTCTATGCTTCATTCTTTTTCAAATTACACACACACACACGCGTATATACATTCACAAGGCCAGGGTGCTACCCCTGTACAGAAAATCTACAATTGCAGCAAATTTGCTGAAACCTCTATGAGATTCCCCAACTCTTCTCCCAAAAAATCAAGGGTAGATTCTTAATCAAAACAAGGAGGGTCTAGAACCAGATAGTCCTCTTCCTATGAAAAGCAGAAGAAACACCTTCAGAAACACATCTGTTTCCACTGAATTTGCTAGTAAATCAGAAATTAGCTAGATGCCTAGTAAATCAGAAATTAGCTAGATGCAACGTGAGAAACTATATCCTTTAGTTCTTGACTCTCCTACCTGCGCAAACCTGTAACTCAGAAGCCACTCACATGATCGCCCCTGATTTATAACAGCCAAGGAGGCTAAAAAGCAGAATTCCAAAGTTTTCTAGTTGCTCGCACAAGAATGAAATTCTACACTTCTGGTTGTTGCAAAAGTTGAGCAGGAAAATGAGGAAAATGGAAGGGTCAGGTTGACAAGTATTGTTCTTAAGACAGCAGGCTAAACATTGCCTCTTATTCATTTTTCTCTCACAACAAAAGATGATACAAGATATGGGGAATATGGTTTTCTGCAAGAAAGTGAAAATTACTTTGTTCATGTTTGTCATTTCCTGTTAATCATATGAGCCTAATGGCCACCAGAACCTCATTGTTCTAGGATTCTGCTTGCTATAAGTCCCATGCTTTGCTTGTCTTGCAATTATGAATAATCTTGGCAGAAATTATTTGTAATGGTGGGAAGTTAACGTTTTTGTAACTTGTAAACTTGATCAATGCAGGACACAGCAATTGACAGAAACCGAGCTAGGGATGAGCAAGGTTGGTCTGATCATTTCTTACTGTGTTTTTGGCATTCTTAGCTTCATGATTGTAATGTTTCTCCTTTGAATTTTTAAACAGGATACTCTATGAATTGAGCCAGAAGCGTGGATAATATACCAGCATTGAATAGTCAAATTGAAAGGTGGGAGATTGTTCTTGTCCTATTTGTAATCTTTTACATTATAGATTTATCATCATGGAATAGGACATGAAACATCTTTTTCTTTTTCTTTTTTTTTTTTCCTTTTTGCCTGGCGAAATTCATAAAACTCTCACGAGGATTATGAGATTTATTCTTTTGTAGGCTTTTGATGAATTGAGATTTGTCTCACAGCAATTTTTTATTTTTAACTTTAGAAATTGAAGCTTTTGTAGAAAAAATATGGTTAAACGGACGGTTATGTTCAACATAATTTAGAAACTTGTCCATATATCATGAGTGCATAATTTTCTTGATGGATCATATAAATGCATCATTAAATCACGGCAAAAAACTTTTAAGGAATTCAGATGATATAGGCAATTTAATATCATGTATGAAGATGTCACATGATTTTTTTTAATCATATGAATCTTTTAGTTTGAAACAAATTAAGTACCATTGGATGCAAAGATCGGGAAAAAAAAAAACCCTTTAAGGAAGTAATGGCTTGGGTCGTGTATGAACGGCCAATCTCCGGTAGAATAGAAGGTTCCATCGGAACAATTATTTATTTCAAAGTACCTCTTGTCTCTCTTTTTTCAAAGGAATTGTGAGGAGAAATGGCAAAACGATATTGGAACATCAATTCAGAAGAGATGATGGAAGCAGGAGGAGTTCGTTTTGGTCGCGGTACTAGAAAATGGAATCCTAGAACGGCACCTTATATTTCTGCAAAGCATGAAGTTATTTCATATTACAAATCCGACTCCGAACTTTAAAAGTAAGATCTCTTAAAGATTTTTTGGAGTTTTTCGTATTATTTTTCCTTTTTTTCTTGGCAGAGCTTTAGATTATTAGGTCGAAACATGAAACAAAATAGATCGAGGCAACAACATCGGATTGCTGTGGAAAAGAATACTTTTCCATTGTTGAAAGTATAGTCAGCTATATACAAAGTAAATAATCTATATTTTATAATCAATTATTTTCAGAGTTAAATATTTATTTTGCTCAAACAATTTAAACTTTGTAAAGTTGATGGTATAAGTTCACCTAATTTTTAGAAGTTGGTAATTATGGGTTCTTGGTAAAAATAAATTTACCTAATTTAAAAATGATAAAAAGGTAAACAAGAATATTCCATATCTTACTTAATGTAGTTGTATGATGTTTGATATTTATTAATGTTTAATTTAATGATTATTTTTATTAGTCATATTACCAATTCATGTACCACAAGTAATTGCTTTTAATTTACTGTATATTATTCCTGTTCAATCAATAAATTAATTAGGAATAGAACTATATCAAAAATTTATAATTGATTAAAATAAATGAAATATATAAGGAAAACATAGAATAATTAGTAAGCTAATAAATATATTTACATAACATAAAACAACAATACTATATTTTAAAACAAAAGTTAATTTTTTTAAAAAAAATAATATAAATTAAAATGGAAAACTCTAAAGAGAGAATCGAGTTTTGGAGTTAGCACACCCTCGTGGGACTACAACTATTTGTTTAAGTCATTATAGTATGCGTGTCGCTCGGAACATAAAGGGTACAATAATTTATTAATGATAGTTTGTTTGGAGTTCTAAATTCAAAGATGACAACTAATTACGAGAATTATACTTAACATCTTATAATACAAAAATAACAATAACAGCGCACTACATTTATCTATATTTTGAAAATACATTTCTTTTTAAAAAATCATTCTTAACTTTATATCTACATTAAAAAAAAAAGGTAAAAAAAAATTAGAAAAAGAATAAATCATATAAATTAAGAGGATTCATCCTAAAATCTCTCTATTTCTAAGCTGTATTTTATCAATATTAATACTTTTTTAACAAATAGAAAACTAGATAGTATATTCTTTTATTGGTAGATTGAAGGATTAGAATAATTATTGCTTTATGTAAAGAAACTTAACTGGGTAGGGTAGAGAGCATTTAATACTCATTAATTTTTTCTTTTGTGTATTTATTTGATGGAACCTTGGGAATATATATACAAACAGGGAAAATGAAAAAGGGATGAGAGCGGTCTCTGGAAACGTCAGAGACCACCAGCTGTCTCCAACCTTTAAATAGAAAAAGAAAATTTGGACCCTTTATTTAGGGTTTTGATATGGGCGGTCCACCTGTCCATTTTTTCAGCCTTCCCATTTTTCCTTGATTCTTTTCACCCGCTCCTCAAGATGAAGTTAGTTTGCTTTCGGTTCTTCGAGTTCCTCATTATCTCTTCTTTGACTCTTTGAACTCTCTTGTTGTAGATGCTTCATCTTGAACAGAAGTTGATAATGTGCTGAAGTCCCTAAGGGTTTTATGAGCAAATCGGCGAGCTGTTCCCTCGAGGTGACGTGTTTCGCTTCAACGAAGCCCTTTTGAACCTGGTTGTGAACTATGTGGCAGTCGATGTCGAGGTGTTTTGTTCATTCGTGAAAAATCGAATTTGCTGCGATATACTCGACGGATTTGTTGTCACAGTTTAATGTTACGGGTAAGTGGGGTGTTATTTGAAAGTCTCAAAGTATATAGATTATCCACTGAACTTCACATACCCTGGATAACATACTTCTGTACTCAGCCTCTACGGAAGACTTACTTACCGTAGTTTGTTCCTTTGTTTTCCAGGAGATCAGTGCAGGCCCAAGGAAAATGCAGAAACCCATGAGTGATTTGCGGGTTATCGGACACGATGCCCAGTCCAAATCACAAAAAGCTTGAACTTTAAAGTCATTCTTTCTCGGAAAAAAGATGTCTTACTCCAGATATTGCTTTAGGTACCTAACAACATGTAGTTCGGCATCGAGGTGCAGCT